ACCGAAACCTGGGGTTCCAGGGTCAGCGATGAGTCCAGAAGATGCGAACCTGTGTCTTCAGGAGTGTAATCCCATCCAACACAGGCTGTAACCCTATGCCCTGTTCGGCCTTCCGACTGACCAGTAGGACCTCTGTCTTGTCTGGATTCAATTTCAATTTGTTAGCTCTCATCCAGTCCGATACAGCAGCTAAACACCGGTTCAAGGTCTGGACAGCCTCCTTGGTGACAGGTGAGAAGGAGTGACAGATTTGGACGTCATCTGCATAGAGATAGCATCTTAGTCCGAAACTCCGAATGATCTCTCCCAGCGGCTTCATGTAGATGTTAAATAACATCGGGGACAAGATAGAACCCTGTGGGACTCCACACAACAACGGTTGTGGGGCCGAACAGGTGTCACCCAGTAACACCTTCTGGGTCCGTCCCTCAAGGAAGGATCGAAGCCACCGCAGAGCAGTGCCTCCGAGCCCCATATCCATGAGGCGGCCCAGAAGGATACCGTGATCGACGGTATCGAAGGCCGCTGAGAGGTCCAGCAGAACTAACAGGGACACACTCCCCCTGTCTAGCTCCCTGCGTAGATCATCTACCAAGGCGACCAAGGCTGTCTCAGTTCCATGTCCCGGCCTAAAGCCAGACTGTGCCGGGTCTAGATAATCAGTGTCTACCAGAAACCCCTGGAGTTGTGTTGCCACCACACGTTCCATGACCTTGCCCAAGTAGGGGAGATTGGAAACAGGCCGATAGTTGTCAAATTGAGTGGGATCCAGTGATGGTTTCTTCAACAGCGGTTTTATAATAGCTTGTTTTAAGCTCGCTGGAAATATTCCTTCCTGTAAGGAGGCATTAACCATCACCTTCACCCACTCTGCCAAACCCCCTCTGGCTTCCTTGATCAGCCAGGAAGGGCAGGGGTCTAGGATGCATGTGGTGGGTCGCACCTCTCCAAGGATCCTGTCCACATCCTCAAGCTGAACCAATTGAAACGAATCCAACAAAACTGGACAAGCAGATGCTCTCGTTACATCCCCAGAGACTGCCGTTAACATGACGCCAAAACCCGACCGGATCCGCTCAATTTTATCCGCGAAGGATCGAGCAAATGCTTCACAGCGAGCCACCGAGTTGTCCGAGGCCTCGCTTTTTGGCGGATTTAACAGGCCCCTGACAACTCGGAAAAGCTCCGCTGGACGATTCTTCGCTGATGCAATATTGGCTGTGATGAATGTTTTCTGAGCTGCCGCTATTGCCACACCGTAGGACCTTAAAAAGGCATTCAGGTGTGTGCTGCTCCTGAAGCAACTTCCTCTTTGGCTTTAGCTCAGCACTAAGTTTCTCTAAGAATACCTGGGACACTTTTCTCCACTGAAAATGAATAAAGGAACATTTCAGGGTTGAAAATAAATAACTGTATATTGTCGAAGGCTTTCATGGCTGGAATCACTGGGTTGTTGTAGGTTTTTTCGGGCTGTCTTCTCTGCCAACTACTACTGTTGATGCTTTGCTGAACTACAATTTTCAAAGCATCCGGTCATGGCAGTTAAAGTGGTGTCAAACTGCATTAATTCTGCAGTGGAGATGCACTTTTGCAATCCCAAATCCTAACTCTTCCTAAGTTGAAAGAGATAGTTTTCAGGCATGGGCAAACTTTGGCCCTCCAGGTGTTTTGGACTCCAACTCCCACAATTCCTAACAGCCTACCGGCTGTTAGGAATTGTGGGAGTTGGAGTCCAAAACACCGGGAGGGCTGAAGTTTGCCCATGTCTGGTTTAGCTTCTGAATCTGAGTTTCAAAACCCTGGTGGGAAACACTGACTACAGTAGATTCTTGCTTATCCAACCTTCACTCATCCAACGTTCTGTATTATCCAACGCAGTCTGCCTCCTGCCCGGATCCACAGCTGTTTCAATACATTGCGATATTTTGGTGCTAAATTTACAAATACAGTAATTACTACTTAATGTTACCATGTATTGATTTGCTTTTTCTTTCAATTTGTTGTAAAACATGATGTTTTACTACTTAATTTGTAAAATCATAACGTAATTTGATGTTTAATATGCATTTCCTTCATCTCTCCTTATTATCCAACATTTTTGCTTCTCCAAAGTTCTGTTGGCCCATTTATGTTGGATAAGCGAGACTCTACTATAGCTCTTAGGTTAGAATTTGGAATTTATTAATAGTTCATTATTAGGGAATACCTCTGCTAGAATCCTTCAGGCAGGTGGCAATTTGGAGATTTTGGACATTGCATTCTTGAAAAACCTAGAAGAGACTTTGTGGGCAATCCAGTCCAACCCCATTCTGCCAAGAAGCAGGAATATCTCTAAGCACCCCCGACAGATGGCCATCCAGCCTCTGTTTAAAAGCCTCCAAAGAAGGAGCCTCCACCACACTCCAGAGCAGAGAGTTCCACTGCCGAACAGCTGTCACAGTTAGGAAGTTCTTCCTCATGTTCAGGTGGAATCGCCTTTCTTTCCTGTACTTTGAAGCCATTGTTCCACTGCGTCCTAGTCTCCAGGGAAGCAGAAAACAAGCCTGCTCCCTTCTCCCTATGACTTCCCCTCACATATTTATACACGGCTCTCATCATGTCTCCTCTCAGCCTTCTCTTCTGCAGGCTAAACATGCCCAGCTCTTTAAGCCGCTCCTCGTAGGGCTTGTTCTCCATACCCTTGATCATTTTAGTCACCCTGCTCTGAACTTGTCAACATCTCCCTTCAATTGCAGTGACCAGAATTGGACACAGTATTTATTCCAGTTGTGGTCTGACCAAGGCGGAAACGACCTTGTCATTTCAATTCCAGGAGATTCTGGGGCTTGTGATCCCAAAATACTCTCTTGCTATACTCTTATCCTAGGATCCCACAGGCAGCTGGCAATTTTGGAGGGTCCTGGAACTTCTAATCCCAATTCCTAACTGTTCCACATTCAGAGACGGCTCTAGGTAATTTTCAACGGTAAGCAAACAGTATTTTGGTGCACCCCGCCCCCCAACCAATCACTGATATATATTTTCTGTTCATCGTGGGAGTTCTGTGTGCCATATTTGGTTCAGGTCCATCATTGGTGGAGTTCAGAATGCTCTTTGATTGTTGGTGAACTATGAATCCCAGCAAGTACAACTCCCAAATTTCAAGCTCTGTTTTCCCCAAACTCCAACAGTATTCACATTTGAGCATATTGAAGACAAGCAGACAAATGTCAGTGTGTTGGAAGAATCAAAGACCACCAGCACTGAAGCGATGGTCCTTCACCATCAACTCCGCTGGACCGGCCACGTTGTCCGGATGTCCAACCACCGCCTCCCAAAGCAGTTGCTCTACTCCGAACTCAAGAATGGAAAACAGAATATTGGTGGGCAGGAAAAGAGATTTAAAGATGGGCTCAAAGCCAACCTTAAGAACTCTGGCATAGACACTGAGAACTGGGAAGCCCTGGCCCTTGAGTGCTCCAGCTGGAGGTCAGCTGTGACCAGCAGTGCTGTAGAATTTGAAGAGGCACAAATTGTGGGCGAGAGAGAAACGTGCCAAGAGGAAGGCATGTCAAGCCAACCCCGACCGGGACCATTTTCCACCTGGAAACCAATGCCCTCACTGCAGGAGAAGATGCAGATCAAGAACAGGGCTCCACAGTCACCTACAGATCCACTGCACACTGACCCTGGAGGACCAGCCTACTCGGACAACGAGGAATCGCCTAAGTAAGTAAGCAAGTACTATAAATCCCAGCAACTACAACTCCCAAATCTCAAGCTTTATTTCCCCCAAACTCCACCAGTATTCACATTTGATCATATTAAGTATTTGTCCCAAGTTTGGTCCAGATCCATCATTGTCTGAGTCTACAGTGCTCTCTGGATGTAGGTGAACTACAACTCCCAAACTCAAGGTCAATGCTCACCAAACCCTTCCTGTATTTTCTGTTGGTCATGGGAGTTCTGTGTTCCAAGCTTGGTTCAATGCCATTTTTGGCGGAATTCAGAATGCTCTTTGCTTGGAGGTGAAGTATAAATCCCAGCAACTACAACTCCCAAATTTCAAGCTCTATTTACCCCAAACTCCACCATTGTTCACATTTGGGCATATTGAGTATTTGTGTCCGGCTCCATTGTTGTTTGAGTCCACATTCTTTCTGGATGTAGGTGAACTATAACTCCCAAACTCAAGGTCAGTGCCCACCAAACCCTTCCAGTATTTTCTGTTGGTTGTGGGAGTTCTCTGTGCCAAGTTTGGTTCAACTCCATCATTGGTGGAGTTCAGAATGTTCTTTGATTGTAGGTGAATTACAAATCCCAGCAACCACAACTCCCAAATGTCAAGGTCTATTTTCCCCAAACTCCACCAGTATTCACATTTGAACTCCCAAACTCAAGGTCAATACCCACCAAACCCCTCCTGTATTAATGTATTGTCGAAGGATTTCATGGCCGGAAACACTGAGTTGTTGTAGGTTTTTTCGGGCTATATGGCCATGGTCTAGAGGCATTTTCTCCTGACGTTTCACCTGCATCTATGGCAAGCATCCTCAGAGGTAGTGAGGTGTATTTTCTGTATTTTCTGTTGGTCGTGGAGGTTCTGTGTGGCAAATTTGGTTCAATTCCATTTTTGGTGGAGTTCAGAATGCTCTTTGCTTAGAGGTGAACTATAAATCCCAGCAACTACAACTCCCAAATGACAAAATCAATCTCCCCCAACTCCACCAGTATTCAAATTTGGGCATATCGAGTATTTGTGCCAAATTTGGTCCAGTAAATGAAAATACATCCTGCATATGGGTCATTTGCATGAAGACTCAAAATAGTAGCAAAATTACAGTTAGGAAGGAGCAACTAAAATAATGTGATGGTTGGGGGTCAGCACAACATGAGGAACTGTCCTAAGGGGTGGTGGCATTAGGAAGGTTGAGAGACAGTGAGATAAGGTTAGGGTCTCTGCCACCCACAAGAAGGAGCCATTCAACCGGTGCGCCCGCCGGCTTCCCGACTTTACTGACCCTAGGAAGGCGATGTACCGGGGATCCGTGGCCAAGTTGGCATCGATGGTGAGCGAGAGGAAGAAAGGGCTGACCTGCCGGACGGCCCGGTCCCTGGCTTGGAAGCTGAGCTGTGCCCCGGGCTCTGGGGGGTCGGCAGGGAGAGCCCCCCGGCAGAGAGGCAGAGCCAGGCAGGCCACGAAGAGGAGCGGCGGAGGCATCTTCAGGGCTGGGATGGAGGAGGAGGTGGTCCAGGGACGCCGCCTGGCTGCATCTGGAGACCCAGGAGGAGGAGGAGGAGGAGGAGGAGGAGGAGGAGGGAGCCTGCCTTCCTCCCCGCCCTCTTTCTCCTCCTCCTCCTCCTCGAGAGTCAAAGAGACGCCCTCCGCCCAAAGAAAGCGGACTCTATGGGTCACAGGGAGGGGAGACCACAGGCTAGTAGGATGTGGGATTGCCCATGCTCTGATACATCCTCACTGCTCATCTGAGGTGGATTACTTAAGGCTTGATGCTCTCTCTGAGCCCAAACTCATGCTCCAATGGCTCCTCTCCATCCTGGGGAGAAAGGGGTAGTATGGTGCCCTAGAGTTCTGTCCTCCAGTGCTCTTTCTCTTCCTTCTTTCCTTCCTTTTCTCTTCACAACCTCTGAGGATGCCTGCCATAGATGCTGGCGAAACGTCAGGAGAGAATGCTTCTAGAACAGCGTTTCTCAACCTGGGGGTCAGGACCCCTGGAGGGGTCGCGAGGGGGTGTCAGAGGGGTCACCAAAGACCACCAGAAAACACAGTATTTTCTGTTGGTCATGGAGGTTCAGTGTGGGAAGTTTGGCCCAGTTCAGTCGTTGGTAGGGTTCAGAATGCTCTTTGATTGTAGGTGAACTATAAATCCCAGCAACTACAACTCCCAAATGTCAAGGTCTATTTTCCCCAAACTCAACCAGTGTTCATATTTGGGCATATTGAGAATTCATGCCAAGTTTGATCCAGATCCATCATTGTTTGAGTCCACAGTGCTCAGTGGATGTAGGTGAACTACAACTCCCAAAACTCAAGGTCAATGCCCACCAAACCCTTCCAGTATTTTTTGTTGATCATGGGAGTTCTGTGTGCCAAGTTTGATTCAATTCCATTGTTGGTAGAATTCAGAATGCTCTTTGATTGTAGGTGAACTATAAATCCCAGCAACTACAACTCCCAAATGTCAAGGTCTATGTTCCCCAAACTCCACCAGTGTTCATATTTGGACATTTTGAGAATTCATGCCAAGTTTGGTCCAGATCCGTCATTGTTTGAGTCCGCAGTGCTCAGTGAATGTAGGTGAAATACAACTCCCAAAACTCAAGGTCAATGCCCACCAAACCCTTCCAGTACTTTTTGTTGTTCATGGGAGTTCTGTGTGCCAAGTTTGATTCAATTCCATTGTTGGTAGAATTCAGAATGCTCTTTGATTGTAAGTGAACTATAACTCCCACAGGACAAAATCAATACTCTCCCCCAATCCCACCAGTATTCAAATTTGGGCATATTGGGTATTTGTGCCAAATTTGGTCCAGTCAATGAAAATACATCTTGCATCTCAGATATTTACATTACAATCCATAACAATAGTCAAATTACAATTATGAAGTTGCAACAAAAACAATGTTATGGTTGGGGGTCACCACAACATGAGGGACTGTATTAAGGGGTCACGGCATTAGGAAGGTTGAGAACCACTGTTCTAGAACATGGCCATATAGCCCGAAAAACCTACAACAACCCAATAATAATAGCAACCACAACGTATATGTGTGTCTTCAAATTGCTGCCTGTTGCAAGGCCCGCTTGGGAAGTGTTCAACTTATGATTTTGTGATACGAAATCCAGCATATATATCTCGTTTGCTGTTTCATACTGTGTTTTGTGTCAGAATAATAATAATAATTTCTTTGCAGCCTCTCCTCGTGGCAGGTTTCAACATTGCTAAATCATACATTAGTCTAAAGCAGGCATGAGCGAACTTTAATTTCTTCCTTCCTTCCTGTCTATCTTCCTTCCTTCTTCCCTCCCTCAATAAATAATAATAATAATAATAACAATAATAACATTCTTAAATAATAATAATAATATTCCGGCAGCCCAAGAACAAGCCATTAGAACCAATGCCATCAAAGCCAGAATTGAAAAGTCAATGACAGGTCCCAAATGACTCTGCAAGGAAGCAGATGAAACAATAGATCACATCCTCAGCTGCTGGAAGAAGATTGTGCAGACAGACTACAAGCAGAGTCATAACATCGTTGCTCAGATGATTCATTGGAACTTGTGCCACAAATACCATCTGCCTGCAACAAAGAACTGGTGGGATCACAAGTCGGAAAGAGTTACAGAGAATGAACATGTCAAGCTACTCTGAGACTTCTGGATTCAGACAGACAGAGTTTGGGAGCACAATACTCCTGATTTTACGATCGTGTTAAAAAACAAAGTATGGATTGTCGATGTTGCAACCCCAGTTGACAGCAGGATTGCAGAGAAACAACTGGAAAAGCTGCCACGATATGAGGATTTAAAATCGAACTGCAAAGACTCTGGCACAAGCCAGTCAAGGTGGTCCCAGTGGTGATCGGCACACTGGGTGCAGTGCCTAAAGACCTTGGCCTGCACTTAAACACAATTGGCGCTGACAAAATTACCATTTGCCAGCTGCAAAAGGCCACCTTACTGGGATCTGCATGCATTATTCGCCAATACATCGCACAGTCCTAGACACTTGTGAAGTGTCCAAAGTGTGATCCAATACAAGAGCCAGTAAAGTGTCTCCTGTGGACTCATCTTGTTGTGTTTCTAATAATAATAATAATAATAATAATAATAATAATAATAATAATAATAATAATAATAGTCAATCCATCTTGCCCTTGGTCAGCCCCTCATCCTTTTTTCTTTTATTTTCCCCAGCATCATTATCTTCTCCAGGCTTTCCTGTCTTCTCAGACAGTGTTATTTTCAGTATTTCTGCAGGACAAGGTTTTGCTTTGCCAATGAATTTCCTAGGAGCTGTGTGGGGTCCAAAATTTGCCCAAGTCTGAGCTAAAGACATACTTTAAATGCTATGTTAGTGTATGTACTGTATTTTAATTTTGTTTTTACCACATTCTTACTATTTAGTTGCTTTTAAACTTTGGTATTGCACTTTTCAAACTTGACTAAGTGTGGGACTGTTAGCCGCCTTGAGTCCCCATGGGGACAAAGGCGGGGTATAAATAAAGACATTAAAATTACATATTAATACATATTTCCACAAAATACATATTAAAATACGCAGAACAAAGGTTAAACATAAGATGCAAGCTGAAAAGTAAGCATTAAAACTGGCTGGGGTTTCATTGTTTTCTCTCTCTCTTTGCCCCTCTTCCTTTCCTCCTTTCCTTCTGTCCTGATCAGCAGTTGGGCTGCTTTTGGTCCAGCTGCTGCTCAGCGCCTTTCACCCAACTCCAGTTTGGAAGAGGTCAAATTGACCTCCTTTTCCTGAGTTATTTTTCACAGGCCACAGAGATTACATTGATGAAGGCCTGCTGATATGAGCAGCAGCTGGGAATCTCTGTGTAAAAAGAGGGCAGGAGGAGGTGCCTCTTTGGGAAGGGTAAGGTGGAATTAAGGGACCTGTATCTTGGCTGGTCCATGCAGTCGTGCCGGCCACATGACCTTGGAGCTGTCTACGGACAACGCTGGCTCTTCGGCTTAGAAATGGAGATGAGCACCACACCCCAGAGTCAGACACGACTGGACTTCATGTCAGGGGAAAACCTTTACCTATCTTGGTCGGGACCCCTGGATTGGATCTCAATATCCAGACCTTGGTTCTTGCAATCCTGTCTTGGAACTCTGCTGTATCCTGAAACCCTGCTTGATGTCTTCTTGTTCCTGGAAACCTTCAACCTGAATTCTGGACTGATTTTCTGGCTTGACTTATAAACTTAAGTACCTTTGGACTATGTACTTGTTTTTGGAAATCTTTAGAACAGGCATGGGCAAACTTCGCCCCTCCAGGTGTTTTGGACTTCAACTCCCACGATTCCTTACAGGGTGTTAGAAATTGTGGGAGCTGAAGTCCAAAACACCTGGAGGGGCGACGTTTACCCATGCCTGCTTTGGAACATGGAACTCAACCATGTGCTATATTTCTTTTAGTTGGTCCTTGGCTTGACTTTATGTTTGAATTCTTTGCCTAAGTAAAAATACGTTTTGGCATATCCTGGGTTTGTTTGGTTAAGCTCTGCCCTCATTATCAGGTGAGAGCCTTAGAACACACTATCTCTCTTTTCCTTCCCTCCCTTCCTTTACTGAAAAATTTCCACCTGATTTTTTTTTGTCGTGTCAGGAGCAACTTGAGAAACTGCAAGTTGCTTCTGGTGTGAGAGAATTGGCCGTCTGCAAGGACGTTGCCCAGGGGACGCCCAGATGATTTGATGTTTTTATCATCCTTCTGGGAGGCTTCTCTCATGTCCCTGTATGACGAGCTGGAGCTGATAGAGGGAGCTCATCCACCTCTTCCCCACCTGATTCAAGATATAGAGTGTGCATCCTCAAACTCTGCCCCTCCAGATGTTTGCGCTTCCAACTCCCAGCAGTCCCTATGGCCTGATTGTTCAATGTTGATTGTTCAAATGAATTCTGGGAATTGGAGGCCCAAATACCTAGAAGTCTGGAGTTTGAGGATGTCTGGTATAGGGACTCGACATCTGTATCAAAAGTTATTAAAATTATTTGTTTTTATCTCACTTTTCTCCAGTGAGTGGGATTCAAAGCAGCAATGACTTGGATGATGGAATAGAGGGCATATGTATCAAATTTGCACTTTGCCCCAAATTGGGAGAGATAAGGCAGTACCTCAGTGGACAGGATCAGAATTCAAAATGGCCCTTGGAGAGCTCAGTTCCAGACCAACTAAATGAAGTGCAACACAGAGAAATATACAGTTGAGCAGAAAAAGGGAAATACAGAGGTATAAGATGGGTATGCCTGGTTCAGGAACACTTGAAGGGGATCTAGGAGTCTTAATTGGCCACAAGTTGAACACGAGCCAACAGTGTGATGCAGCAGCTAAAAAAACCCAGAGCTAAGTAAGATGGGTGCTACAGTCCAAGAGTTGCCAGGACACAGCAACTGGATTTAAAGTGGATGGATGTTGTAGTGTGATGAAGTCCTTAGAGGTTAAGCCCCAACCATAACATCATTTCCATTGCTACTTCATAACTATAATTTTGCTAGTTATGAATCGTAATGTAAACATCTGATATGCAGGATACATTTTCATTCACTGGACTAAATTTGGCACAAATACGCCAAAATTTGAATACTGGTGAGGTTTGGGGGGTTGGGAGGGGGATTGATTTTGTCATTTGGGAGTCGTAGTTGCTGGGATTTATAGTTAACCTACAATCAAAGAGCATTCTGAACTCTACCAACAATGGAATTGAACCAAACTTGGCACACAGAACTCCCATGACCAACAGAAAATACTGGAAGAGTTTGGTAGGCATTGACCTTGATTTTGGAGTAGTAGTTCACCGACATCCAGAGAGCACTGTGAACTCAAACAATGATGGATCTGGACCAAACTTGGCACGAATATTCAATATGCCCAAATATGAACACTGGTGTGGGGAAAATAGACCTTGACATTTGGGAGTTGTAGTTGATGGGATGTATAGTTCACCTACAATCAAAGAGAATTCTGAACTCTACCAACAATGGAATTGAACCAATCTGAGCACACAGAACTCCTATGACCAACAGAAAAAACTGGAAGGGTTTGGTGGGCATTGGCCTTGAGTTTTGGAGTTGTAGTTCACCTACATCTAGAGAGCAGGAGGAGGGCTTTTGGTGAGAGGATTGCCGTCTGTTTCCAAAAAGGAAGAGAAGGACAGGCAGAGAGTTCTTCAGCCTTCTCTGCCAAAGGGGTTTCTAAGACCATCAGAAATATGTGTTTTCTGATGGACTTTGGTGACCCCCTCTGAGACCCCCTTGCGACCCCTGCTAGGGGTCCTGACCCCCAGGTTGAGAAACGCTGCTCTACAGCAATCTAGCAAGAACAGTCCTTAAGGAAAATGTGTATTTGATAAGTGGGGATACGGATAATCATGATCTTGAGCTCAACCTATTTACAGGTACTAAATATTGTACACAGTTGAATCAAGGAAATTTAATCAAGTGTTGATTTGTCATTCAACAATCCCAGTTGTTAGATTTACGTATGAGGTCCTTCATATGTTACTGTACTGCAATTTCTAGCAATCCTACCCAGTATAAACAAAGGGGTGGAAGGTGAGGAGCTGTAATTCATTAACATTTGAAAGTCTTGGGATTCACACTGATAGGCATGATTCTCAAATATGGTAGCCACACAAAAATCTATAACAGCCACAAAATCTTTGCTTTCCATTTGGTTACATTATATCCTAATTTCACAGAATCAACTGAACTGGATATCAAAATAATTTTTTTCAGTGTTTATTATAGCAAAATAAGCTCAGCTATATCAATATATACACACACAGCAAATTACACACAATGAAAAGATTAGAAATTCATCTTTTGATTCTGAAGTTCAGGTTGAAGAGTGATTAAAGAAGCTTTAAGGCATATCTGTTGGTATTCTCAGTAATTCTTCAACTTCTTCTTGCAAAGCCTCGGCCTTTTCCGTTAGGAGCATCTGTATCCAAAACACAAACATTTTAAGTAAAATTATTAAAGGACTAGCCTTTTTTCTGATATATATTTGTGGGAAAAGTTGGCCCTTCCCAAGATGAGATATATTTCATTCCCCTGGAGCAAAAGATGGTTCACAAATAGAAGGAACAGACTAATCCATGTATTAATAAAAGGGATCCACGTCTCTCTCTGCTTCTTTGGCCACGGTTCCTCAATGCCTAAGAGCATCATAAGCACAGACTAGATTTATGTATCATTTTTAAAATTTGAAGTATTTCTGTATCAAATCCTGGCTTTGCTGTATTGCAAACTCATACACACACATGCCACATTATTGAAGACTTGCCATTCAGACTCACACAAAAAGCACTGCTGCGTTGACAGAAAAACCTGTCATTCAAAAGGGATGTATGTCTGCCTATCTGCTGAGTGAACAGGAATACACTACAATTCGTAGAGAGAGATTCTTTCAATTTACAGTTATGCTACTAACACACACCAAACATTATACTACATGCAAAACCCTGTCATTTCATATAAAACAGTTCATTACTCTCTCTCTCCCCCCCCCCCCACCCCAAACAGAAAGGAGTTTCTTCCTCCATTATGTCATCACTCCATTTTCTCCTTTGTAGCTCAGGTAGCCAAGAAAACTTTACTGTGGTTTAAGTGTAAGTTTGGTTTGATCATGGTAACTATGAAAAATCTCTGGGAAATTGAAGTGTATGACTGTAACAACAACAACAACAACAACTTGACTGCGACAAAGAATTGGTGGAATCACAAGCCTGAAAAAGTTACAGAAAATAAACACGTCAAGCTACTCTGGGACTTCCGAATTCAGACTGACAGAGTTTTGGAGCATAATACTCCTGACCTCACGATCATGTTAAAAAACAAAGTATGGATTGTCGATGTTGCAATTCCAGGTGACAGCAGGATTGAAGAGAAACAACTGAACAAGCTGTCACGATATGAGGATTTAAAGATCAAACTGCAAAGACTGTGGCACAAGCCAGTTAAGGGGGTCCCAGTGGTCATCGGCACACTGGGTGCAGTACCTAAAGACCTTGGCCTGCACTTAAAACACAATCGGCACTGACAAAATTACCATCTGCAAAAGGCTACCCTACTGGGATCTGCACATATTATTTGCCGATACATAACATAGTCCTAAACACTTGCGAAGTGTCTGATGTGTGATCCAATACAGCAACCAGAATAGTGATCTTGTTTGCTGTGTACTAATCTTGTTGTGTTTCAAAAGATAATAATATACTCAAAAGGGCTTTATTACTCCTAATTTCCTTCCAGAGCAGGGATAGGAAAAATCAGGACTTTGCTGACTTCTCCAGGAAACCCTAGACTCCTGCATCTCCTGCTGTAGCCATTTTAAAACCCCTAAATGTCCTTTCAGGGATTTGGCCTGAAAAGGACCCAACTCTGCTCTATACCTACTTAATACAATTCTTATTTAGAGAGCATTTTGTTAAGGATTCACAGCAATTTTGTTCACCTTTGCAGACGAAACTATTTGTCTGGCCTGATTTCTGGACAAATGTTCAATGGTCCTCACCATCACCTGTGGATCTGCATTAGCCAGCTGGGCTAAAGTTTTGTATCCTGAGTTGTAAAGCTGTTTGGCTCGAGCCTGTGGAGGAAGATGACAATTAATTGCAAGAGGAAGCAATCAGTGAAACAAAGCATGCTATAACAAGATGGATGTAAAACATTCTTAGAAAGCAGAATGGTTTAGTGCACAGCTTTCCAATCTTTTCATGTTGGTGACAAGCTTTATGCATCGTTTCGCAACATGGTAATTCAGTTTTACAAGCAAACTGGAGATTAAACCAACCCCAATTGCTCCAGTATCATTCTCTCTCTCTCTCTCTCTCTCTCTCTCTATATATATATATATATATATTGTCTCATATAATCTTTACTGTATAAATGAGGCTTGAATATTTTCCTTTAACACTTATGTACTACAGCTAATTCTTATGTAGTTTTCTCTATAGCCACTCAAGTCATTCATCACAAACATCATTGTCAACAGATTTTCTTTTTTAATTAGAAACTTTAGTGGTAATTACTGCAACCAAATCAACAAATTGTGCAAAACATGGAAGTTATAACAGTACCTACACTTGAACAGCATTGGCCCTCCATTTCTGTAGAGATTAAAGCTTTCTGGAGTATTTAAATGGAGGTTGGATGACCATGCAGGGGTGCTTTGATTGTGTGTTCCTGCCTGGCTGAAGGGGGCTGGATTAGATGCCCTTTAGGGGTCCCTTCCAGTGTTGTCTCCTTCTCTGTGAAGGTTTCTGAACTGAGGCTGGATGGCTGTCTGTTGGGAGGGCTTTGACTTTATCTTACTGCCTGGCTGAAGGAGGCAGGACTAGATGCCCCTTGAGGATCTCCTCATTTTCTAGGGGTGGCCAACATGCTCCATCCATTGGCTGCAGGCAGATTTTGTTTGTGGGGGCATTTCATGCGACACACCTGTGGGCTGCAGGAAACACACTAGTGTGTTGTGACATGCAGTTTGGAAAGCTCCTATTGGGTGGTTTGAGCATGGGACCATGATTCTAGAGACCAGGGACACAGCTTTCCACTGGATCCTCTTGGGCAAGTCATACTTTCAGAGCCTCAAAGGAAGGCAGGGACACACCTCTGTCTGAACAGATCTTGCCAAGAAAACCATGTGTCAGGTTTGCTTTAGGGCTGCCATAAATCATAACTGAAGGCACACAACAACAAAAATATTTGTACATTCTCATCTTAGTCATAATACTTTTGTTGAAACAATTGTCAACTGTTGCAACATTTGCCACCCTTGAAGAAATGTGAAGAGTGGCACTTTTTGATGGTGGAGGTTGCACAAAAGCATACTTATCTCCCTTCGCCTCCAATTTAGGAAACTTTATTCAAAATGTTTTGAATTAAACTAGGTTAATTTCACCAAGTGAAGTGGAAATGACCATATTGTAGCCCAGAGCTTGAGCCACAAGGAGAGGCAGGTAATGCCACAAATATTAAAAATTAATTAAAAGTATTTTTAATTATAAAAAGGTGAGTCAAACACTAAAAGGGTTAAATGGATACAATGACTCAGCAAAAGCTGAAGTTCGATATAAGCAGGTGTGTCTGGAGCTTAGCAGCCCTCAGTCTGTGAGAGGAGTCTCTGTGGGAGAAGGGCCTCAGTGTGTTAGTAGGCCTCAGTATGACAAGGCCTCAGAGTTAGATTGCCTCAGTGTGAGAGAGGCGCCAAGAGTAAGAAGGCCTCAGTGGAAGAAAGGCATCAGTGTGAGGTAGGCCTCAGTGTTAGCTCACCTCAGTGGGAGAAAGGCCTCAGTGTAAGAAGGCCTCGGTGAGAGAAAGGCCTCAATGTTAGTAGGCCTCAGTATTGGAAGGTCTCCGTGTGAGAGAAGCCCCAGGCTGAAGGCCATTGTGTGTGAAGCTCTAGTGTGAAGGCTGCTGTGTGTAAAAAGCTAGTCTGTGAAACTTCTATGTAAGCTTGTTGTGAGAAGAGGCTCTAACAGCGAAGCTGTTTATCTGCATGAGAAAGAAGTACAGCGGGGAAGCAAAGAAGGAACTGTAAAAAACTTTGTGTTATGGAAACCTTGTTCTTGTAAATAGTGCAATCATATGGAAGACATAACATTGGTTTGTGTATTTTTGTTCTTTTTATCACTTTGGGCTACTGGTGCTGGGTCATGTTGCTACTACTAAGTTACTTTGCTGTGTGTTTATGGGAAGGGTCTTTTATTAATAAGCTCACTCACAGGTAATGAATGTATATTATTACTATTATTCCTCTGTTTATAGCTACGTATCAAAAAGAAGTGAAAATCTGTCCCCATGTCAAATCACAAGAAAAAAAAATTAACATGCTGTACTAAGCCATCAGTTTTGGAGACAGCGAATAATAGAATAGAATGTGTGAATATTATTGTGGATGTTTGCATATGTTTTGCTCTTGTGTCAGACATTGGGACCCTATGAAATCCAGGTATACTAACCTCTAAAACACCGTTCACCTCCATCAGAGGGATGAGCTCTGCCTTAACACAATAGCTCAGTTTCTTGGTAAGTTCTGTCAACAGCGCTTTGTAAACCCAAAATTCATTCAGCTCCTGTAAGTAAATAATAAATAAAGTGGTCAGTGAAACTTCTGTTTATGATTATATCACTTGGAAAATTGCTGACTGACTCACACTATGTTTCTAGATGATACAATATTTTGCATCGATGACTTTAGTCCATCAAATGCAGCCCATGTAAAGGGTGGAAAGTCAGAAAAAAAAAGATTACTTGGGTGCCACTTGAAACTACAATGACGAATTGGCAACAGCACAAGCCAACAAAAGAGGTCAGTGTCAATCTATTTGCCAAAACTTCACTGAAGTCAAAATAGTTCTTTGAAGAAAGATTTTCAGTTGCATTATCACAAAAAACTCTATGAATTTATTGTTTATTCTCAATCTGAGGATTCCTGGTAAGTAAGCAAATAAAACAGAAAGGAATGGTTTCAATTTCAGCTATACTTAGAAAAGATCCACTAAAAGGAATGAAAAGTAAGTTAGCCATAATCAAGTCTCATTAAATCCAAATGCATCTAATCTGACTAAAGTGGGAATGAATGTATACTGAATGAAGATTACCTTTCAAGTAACATTGCATTATTCAGTTTGGGCATTAGAATAGGGAATACCATGGAAATTTTTTGGAGAATTATGAGTAATGAATGACGTTTTGGTGTTTTAGCCGTGATGCAATCAGCTATGACACATTACCTCACAGAAGTGCAGAACTGAGGAGGAGAACGAAGAAGCTGAATTGAGAAGAGTTTGAATAAATCCTCGTGACAGGTTAAATTTTTCTGCCACCCTCCATATATTGGTCTCTTTTAACAAGGAAAGAAGAATGAAGGACAAGTAGAGTCTAGTGACGGTGTTTCTGTCCACATCCTAAGAAGACAGCAAGTTACAATGTAAAAAACCACAGAAATCCACAAGCATGTGGACAATTTCAACAGAAATGAGGAAACCATGAAAATGAACCAAATCTGAATACCAGTATTTAAAAAACCCTCTAAAATCAGGACAGTAAATAAAGAACCACACTCAGAAAACAGAGGAATTCCAGACATGAAACAATCAAGGCCAGCTAATACCTCCCAACAAAGGATTCCCACAGGCAGGAAGTAACCAGGCATTGAAGCTGCAAGGCTATTAAATGCTAATTAAGGTGGCCAATTGCAACATTCACACTTGCATCAAACAGACAAGAATTACTTCTTCCACGCTAGACATTCCACAGATATATAAATTTCACGTGCCTACTTTCCAACCTCACAACCTCTGAGGATGCCTGCCATAGATGTGGGTGAAATGACAGGAGAGAAAGTTTCTGGAACATGGCCACACAGCCCGAAAAAATCACAGCAACCCAAAAAGGTGAGAGATTGAATGTGTGATTTCTGGAAACTTACAACTGTTTTACAAAGCAAAGCATGAAATCACAGGAACTGCCTATCTATATAAATAAAAATGTAACGTTCATTTGTGGGATTAACTCAAAAACCACTGGACGAATTGACACCAAATTTGGACACAATACACCCATCAGGCCAACAAGTGACCATCACACATAAAAACACTGAAGAACACAGCAGAAGAGACTTAAAAAGCCAAAAAGTAAAAACATACATTACAACACATGCACAAACCACCCACTCACACACATACACACACCCATACACATAAATATGCAAACACACACATATACACAACTATATACACACAAAGCACATATACATGGACTGGGCCACAGCAATGTGTGGCAGGGGACAGCTAGTTAAGTCAATATAATGTAAAAACTAGGGTTCAAATCCATGAACCCTAGAGAAACCTACTGGCTGACTTTGGGCAAGTCACACTCTCTCAGCCTCAGAAAAAGGCAATCTTACCAATAATACTCTGTGATAGGGTCACTTTAGGGTCAATGTAAGTCAACAATGACTTGAAGGCACAATACAAAATAAATATCTCTTTCTTTTACCTTTTTGATTCCTTGTCCAGAAGCCTTTTTCATAATAAAACTCTCAGGCACTCCAACAAGATCAGCAACGTGCTGTTCTACTGGACTTAGCTGACTGTACTAGAGAATACAATTGGGAATTAATCAGCTACATTACAAACCAAACCCATGATATGATCCATCTGGACAAAAATATGAGAAGACATTGGCACTGGACTCAATAGCACTTAGGGCTGTACATACTTTAGCACCCAAGGAATTACTTGGAATGGGAATCCCTTTAGCCCCAGCAGTAAGTAATTTGCCAAAAAGATGCAAAAGAGAGCTGTTTGGGAACAGATACCCTCAACAAGGATCTCCCAGTGCTAACACCATCTCTTGTTTACATTCAACTCAGCGTGTGGATGGGAACAGGGCTCTGAGGATCCCTTGTTCAAGAACAATGCACTGAAATGCATCCTGTAGATATTTTTATAGTCTTAAACAAGATAAAATTCTTACTTTGAAATAAAAAAAAAACTTGCCTCTTTAAAATACACGATCCAGTCTGGGGTACACTGAGAAGTCATCTCATATGGTGTTGTCAAATATAGTAAATGCAGGCAGCTTTCAAGAATAAGCCCTTCTAGCCCTTTCTTCAAGTCTCCGTAGAGTGCATTGCAATGTGCCAGATCAACAGAACCTAAACAATATTCAAAAGTAAACATTACACGTGTTAACCAACTCAGCAGACTTATATTTTTTTCCACTGCCAAGGAGACACAGCTTCATGTGGCATCTCAATATGCTACCCAACCTCTAACCTCGCTACCCCAAAAGAGCTTTCCAAATGAAGAGAAATCAAGGTAAAGGTAAAGGTTCCCCTTGACATTAAGTCTAGTTGTGTCCGACTCTGGGGGGTGGTGCTCATCTCCATTTCTAAGCCGAAGAGCCGCCGTTATCCACAGACACCTCCAAGGTCATGTGGCCAGCATGACTGCATGTAGCACCGTTACCTCTCTGCCAAGGTGGTACCTACTGATATCACATTTACATCTTTTTGAACTGCTAGGTTGGCAGAAGCTGGTCCTAACAGCAGGAGCTCATCCTGCTCCCTGGATTCGAACCACCAACCTTTTGGTCAGCAAGTTCAGCCACACTATACTGTAATTCTAGCAGTGGTTCCCAACCTTTGGGCCTCCAGGTGTTTTGGACTTCAACTCCCACAATTCCTAACAGCTGGTAAAATGGCTGGGATTTCTGGGAGTTGAAGTCCAAAACACCTGGAGGCCCAAAGGTTGGGAACCACTGCATGTCTGCTGAATGTGTAGTCTGAATCAAAAATTACTGGAGAGTTACCTAAGTATTTCAATACAAAACTCAATGCATATGTCAGAAAGTTCAGTAGCTCAGCATCACCAGGGGGCAAACAAACAAACAACTATTTGTTACCAATTTAGTGCAATTAATTCAAAGACATATTCAACCACCACAAATTGGACAAAACTTGCAATCCTTCCTGATCCGTGGCTGTACTGATACTGCGGGGAAATATCTATGCCATTCCTATATAATGCTGAACAAAGCATTGCAGTTTATTACTAACTTGATTCACAGTTTGTGTAACAGCCACCTGTGATCCTCCTTGTAATGCATGTCGACCTGGGCTGTGCTTTAAATATTAATAACTTATCTGCATCATGCTGCCAATATCAAAGAGACTCATAAGATTTTAGTGTAGTTATAGACAGTTCAGCTGCTGAACAGCTCTCACAGTCTGGAAGTTCTTCCTAATGTAAAGGAGATTCCACTTGAACATTAGGAAGAATTTCCTAACTGTGAGAGCTGTTCAGCAATGGAACTCTTTGCTCTGCAGTTTATTATTTATTTATTTACAGTATTTATATTCCGCCCTTTCATGCCGCAGGGGACTCAGGGCGGATTACAATATACACATACATGGCAAACATTCAATGTCATAGACACACAACACATATAGACAGATAGTCAGAGGCTATTTAACATTCCAATTTTCTGGAGACAGTTCTACGTCAGACGTCTGTATTTATTTATGTGTAATGTATGTGTCACTTTACTTCCTTCATGTTCACAGCTGCATGTTGGGAATTTGAAGCGCAACATGCCATTTAAGAACATCATCTCACTTAGCAACTGGAAATGTATGATATGCGACAGGAAATTGAAAGACATTCTGCTGACACTTGGTTCATCTTCCTCATGTACAATAGTTCTTAATGTGCCTCAGTCACAGTTAAGTTAGTGTATTTTGACCAAAGGTCTATAATCATCATCATCATTATCATCATCATCTATTTATTAATTACCTGCCTCTCCATTCAGCTCAAGGTGGGGCACAACATAGTTAAATTCAATGCATCTATAAAATCACATATTCAAACATAGTAAAAATGCAACCATAAAGGCATATATGAAAACCTACACATTAAATACCTGAGACAAAGATTACCTTTGTAAGTTGCTTGTCCCAATGGAGTGATTTCTAGGTTATTCTGAAAACTTTGTATGCCATCACAGCTTGCTTTCTCTTTCAAGAGGGCCTTCTCTTTCAGCCACTCCAACACCTCCATTG